GCTCTAGCTGGACACAGACGAGGGTCCACAGCCCACGAACCATTCCCCACCTTGCAAACGGCCTCCCTCAGTCCTTCTCTGCTCGACCCTCTGGTGCAGGGACCAAGGAAGGGTGGTTGGTCTACGTGAGACCCAGGAGGGGCCCAGTCCAGCCTCTTCCACACCATTCAGCACATGTGTGTATGTGTGTCTGTGTGTCTGTGTGTGTGTCTGTGTTGTAGGGAAAGTGAAAACTCTTAGGCTTTCTTGCCACCTTCTCCAGGCAAAGGCCCCAATTATGTAAACATGATATAGCAGAATCGTAACAGATGCCGTGTTAGCGGGCTCATGTCTGACCCATCCTTGTCTGAGAGCCACTATTGTCCTGCTTCCTAGAAGACTGGCCCAGGACTTTCAGAGGTGTGGACTGTTCCCCCGGGGAGCAGTTCGTTCCCCCTGGATGGGTTTGTCCCCTGGGGTGTAGTATGTCCCCCGTGAATGCCCAGCTGGCCACCACCGGGAGAGAGTGGGGTTTGTCTCTCTTGTATGTTTGGCCTACAAGAGCCAAATAAATGTCTCACCCTCCCTCGGCTCCACGGTCCTCTTCAGATTGTCCGCATCTAGAGTGAACCTCCCTGGCCAAGTGGTCACTACACTTGGCATAGTTGTTGGCAACCAGTAGTCCTCTCATGACAGTGTACATACACACAAAATCGCCCACGTTAAACCACAGGTTCCTTAGTTCTGTTCAAGGCACGTCATTATTGAGCTCCTGCGATGTGCCAGGTGAGGTGCTGGGGACTGAGCAGTTAGAGATGAAGGTCGCATGGTCCCTCCCTCAAGAAGCTAAGAGACTCATGGGAGAGACACCAGGAGGCAGCCCCTCCCCACGTCACAGGGCAGGTGCCCCCGTGGAAAACATACAGGACATTTCAGGGAGCAGATGGGCTGGCAGTGGGGTTGTCCTGGACAGGATCCTGGAGGAAGGGGCACTGAGCTAAAGTCTGAAAGATGAGTGACCACAGCCTTGCAGAGTCAGAGGAAGGAGAGGCAGAGGTGATAGGGCAGGTGGGAAACACGAATGAAGGCATAGAGGTGGCTCAAGCAGCATGGGGCTCCAGGGACTAGAGCCCAGAGGCCACAGCCACAGATGAAGCTGGCAAGGGGCAGGGCAGAGAACCCAGCTACACGTCCCAGAAGACCCCAGCCAGTCGCACTACACACTGGTAACTGCTGATGGACCAGGGAGGGGACATGGGGAGATGCCCGGGCAGGGCTGCTGACCACGACCACGGCCTCAGCCTTCAGCCCCATTACGCGAGGGGTTGCCTCCCAGACCCAGCTCCTGGAAATGTCACACCTGCCGGGTCAAGAGAATTCAGCAGGTGGACTTAAAAGTCCTCTGACCTCTCCTGACACGGTGCACCCAGGTTTACACTGAGCCCAAAAGGTGGGCAAAGACAGGAATCACCAGAATCCAGAGGCTGCCAGGAAGGCCCTCCAAGCTGGTCAGTCTGGACTCACTCGAGTTCTGTCCCGCGAGTGGGCCCATCCATCCTGTGCTCGGGACGCGGTAGGAGCTCTTCCACTGGGAGCAGCCAGGCCGGTGGAGCTGACGTCCCGCTTCGCTGGCTCAGGGGGCCATTCCCACGGTGGCCACAGGGACGAGGGGTGCTGTGGGAGCCGTCCCTGCAGCAGGCTGGACCGTCGGCTGTGCTTAAACCCTGGGCCGGCTCAACAGAAGAACCAAACAGAAACGCCCCAGTCTGTTGGGAGGGTGCTTTCTGTGTGGGGTTTTTCTTGTCTTTTCCAAGGTGAAGCCACCCCAGTATTTCCTACTGTTACCGACAGATTCCTCAGGCACCTCACACAAGGGAAGTAGCCGCTGAGTCCGAGCTGGTCGGTGACGTCTCCTGGAGCACGTGTCCTGCTGGGTGGCGGGTGACCGAGGGACGGTTGTGGGCCGACTTCTCCAGACTCTTGAGCCGGCCTGTGTCTCAGGCAGCGGCTGGACACTCAGGAGGGTCGGGCTCTGGATTCAGAAAGTGGCGGAATTTACTCATCGTGGGTGACCTGGGCTTCACCATGTGCCCGGGGAGAGGGCAGGAGGAGGAGGGCGAAGGACGACACTCACCGGCCACACGCCGTGTCCAGCGTGGATTTGGGGATGGAGACAAAGTCCGTACGCGTTTCTGTCCAGCGGAAGGTGGATTCCAACACGAGGGCTCATTTCTTCACATGGACTTTCTTGTTCCCAGTCACGGGGGAGCCACGGAAGTGCCTCCAGTTGGGTACCCCAAACCCAGCAGGGACCAGTGACGCCCAGGGCACCCCGACGACCAAAATCTCAGAGATGCCATCCCCGAGTTCCCCAGCCTCACCAGGCTGGGCAGGGAGAAGATGGGGGGGGGGACAGAGAGCCCTAGAACTCCCGGGGTCTGTGGGCTGCAGCTCTAAAATGTGGATTCTGTATGTTCTGAACCCCAACTGGGGCTCCCCCAGCATATGCCGGTTTGGGGAACGGAGGTTTCCAACAGCCTCTCAAGGTTGGAGATCGAGCTCTGTGGCAGGAACACTCCGGTCTCACATCCTGCTGACACCCCATCACGGGGGTGGGTCACAGCCCCCCACCCACGCAGCCTGGGGGCCGAGCCGGGACCCTTCCCACCAGCGTCTGCACCCCCGTTTCTAGACAGAGGTTCGGCTCAGGGCAGAGCGTTAAAATGTGACATACACTCGTTTTTACACTTAAAATCTTCCCCAGTCCTATTTTTATGCAGCAGTCCCTCACATTTGATCTGAGCCCCAGTCGGGGCCTGCACGGCAGTGGGAAGGAAGGCCGTGGAAGCCAGGCTCGGCCACGGGAGGCGCGCGGGGCGGGCGCCGTGGAGCTCCCGGCCTTCCCAGCACGGCGCCCGTCTGCCCCACGGCAGCTCCCCCGCCCCACGCGCCTCCTGAGACGTGCTGTGGGGGTGGGCCCCACGCAGAAGATGCCAGAGCCTCAGCCCAGTGCTGAGCCCGTTCTGGGTGGAGCAGGGACCCCGCGAGCTCGGAGGCAGACCCCAGCCCCGGCCGCCGGCTGCCCTCCTCGCCTCCCTGCCCTCCCTTCCCTGCCTGTCAAGGGGGCAAAGGCCTGGTGGATTCTCAGCCGGGTGGGCCACCGGTCCCAAGGGTGGCTCTGCTCCAAGTCACGTTCGCTGGGACTCCACTGACATACGCTGATGGCGGCGATTATGCCCAAGTCTGGTGGCAACTCTGCCCCTCCCCGAAGAGTGTTGAGCCACAGCCCACCCTTCCTGGGTGGAAGAGGGCGGGGGAGTTAGGCAGATGCAGATCAAGCCACCCACCTGTCCCCATGGCCGGCGTCTAAAGGCCGGGGCGAGGCTGCGGCGAGAGGGAGCCCTCTGCGCTGCGGGAGCCGGGCTGGTCCGCGGGAAGCCGTGCGGCGGCTCCGCAAAGGAGCGAGAGGAGAGCTGCCTTACGACCCAGCCATCCCGCTGCTGTGCCCCGAAATACGAAAACAGTCATTCATGAAGATACGCGCAGCCCCACGTTCACTGCAGCGTTATTCGCGGTCACCGAGACGTGGAAACAACCTGGGCGCCACGGGGTGGATGTCTGGACACAGACGACAAGGGGCACGCACTAGGGAACCCTGAGCCGCCACTCGTGGCGCAATCGAGCTCGCGGATCTTGTGCTGAGCGAAGAAGCCAGATGGGAGAGAAAAACCCGAATGGCCTCACTCACGGGTGGGATGTGAACCCAGAAGCGACAAACTATGAAAGCACAAAGGCTCCGCAAAGAGGGGAGCAGAGGGCACG